ATCCTGGACTATTCCCCAACCTCTCCCTGGCCAGCTATTTGGTCCATGTCTGCTCTCAGAAACAATAGACGTTTTACAGGCCAAGCTTTGGAGCCGGACACAGGCACAGGTCCTGCATGTTTCAACTCAGAACTTCGGTTGTTTTATTTGCTCTCAGAACTGGCTTCGTTATTTGTAAACTGGGCATAATCATATCTACCTTGGAAGATTGTGTGTATTTAATATAACAATGCAAGTGAAACAGTAAAGTGCCTGGCACATAACAGGTATTCGATAAATGGAATTTATGATCATTAACTTCATGTCTGCTATAAAGGGGCTGGGTGAATTTCATGGCAAACTCTTTCTGGGTCTGCTGAGATATCTTAGTGTGTATGATAGAACGAACTTAGGTTACTGGGCAGGTAACTCCTAAACTTTGATTTTGCTGAGAGGAAAATATAATGAGAGGGAAAGCTGAATGGTCCTGGGCAGCAGTTTTTTTTAAAGCTGTGTGGAGGAAGAGGTAGGTAGATTGAATAAAGGGTCGGGAGGAGAGAGGACTTTGAAAAGGAAAAATAGACATGACCAAGGGAGAATTTGATTCAGTTTCTGCAGAGTGATGAGCAATGCACATCCTTTTCCTCTGTCTCCATGAATCTTAAATTTATATATTTATAAAACTTAATATAAGTAACACTGTAGAGTGAGATCTATTTCTGAGATTTATGAAAGTGTGAGTCCTGCTTCACTGTGGGCATAGGGATAAGAACAGACTATGTAAGGAAATCCTTCCACTCAGGACACATATTTTGAAGATTTTAGGCAGATTATAATTGTAGGTAGTGACTCAGCCCTTGGGATGGGGTACTATATTGTCTATGCTCTTGATGTTCATACCCAGCTCTGGCCTATGAACCCGTGACAAACGGGACAGGTTTGCCATTATCATGAACCCTCCTCCCTCTGGTTTGCATCTAGCAGGATTATCATTTCCCCGTGTAAAGAAATAGCTTCTGGGGGCCAGCTCTGTGGCTTAGCAGTTAAGTGCGTGTACTCTGCTACTGGCGGCCCGGGTTCGGATCCTGGGCGTGCACCGACGCACCGCTTCTCCGGCCATGCTGAGGCTGCGTCCCACATACAGCAACTAGAAGGATATGCAGCTATGACATACAACTATCTACTGGGGCTTTGGGGAGAAAAAGGGAAAAAAAGGAGGAGGATTGGCAATAGATGTTAGCTCAGGGCCAGTCTTCCTGGGCAAAAAGAGGAGGATTGGCATGGACGTTAGCTCAGCGCTGATCTTCCTCACAAAAAAAAAGAAAGAAAGAAAGAAAGAAATAGCTTCTGAGGAGATCCTGCGTGCATCATGGAACAGTGCCCTCTACTGTTCCTGAGGAAAGCATGAAGCTGTGGTTAAATCCCGGAGGAAGTGCACCGCTCCAGAGCCAAAGCGAGCTGCTCTGTTGTCTGCAATGATCAAGACGCTGGGAGGCCAGCTGCTGGCACCTCTGGCCAGTCTCAGCTGTGAATATTTGGCAGGAGATGCAAGACAACCCAGCCAAGAGCAGCTTACCTCCCCGACACTTGTTTCTAAGCAGGCTCAGAGCCCACACTACATATGAATGCTCCCTTCCCAGTTTTCACTGCAAACACAGAAGAGCTTCTATTGGTTTTGCCCCTTAGCAGAAAGAACTTTTAAAACAGTGATTTTAAGCATTGAACCTTGCCTTTAGAACCTCGCCCTGCTTCTTAGTATTATAAAATTAAAAATTTTAAACCACTTTAAAGAAGCTGTGATGAAATAAAGGCATATAAAACAGCAGTTCATTTTCAGAAGTTTACACAGGCAAGGGAACAACATATTTTTATTTCTTCCTTTCTTTTTTCCCTCTCTCCCTCTCTTCCCTCCTCTTCCTTCTTCTTTTTAATAAAACAATCTAAAATACTACAGACTCTCCTTCTACAGTAATGATGTTACATGGTGGAAACTGTTTTGCTGACTTTCTCTACCTTCTAGAGCAGTTTCTTTTTGCTGGCTCTCTTTACCCTTTGAGCAGATATCTATGCTCCGAATTCTCACTCTCAGCTACTGTATTCCGCGCATGACTGCAAACGATACGGTCAACATTTACCTTTACTTTAAACAAGAAAAAGAGGAATTCTGTGGATTTTAAGCTGGCGTTATGGATTTGTGTTCTCTACAATAACTTTTGAACTGTTTTCTCAGCATTATTCCACTTAGCTACAGCAGAGAAAATATCGTGATGATTAATGAAATATGCATGAAAGAAAAAAATTTAAAAAGTTTTCTTAACCTAAATGACTCTGAAACCACAATGTGGGAAAGTACTTTTTCTTTCATGATTCTGAGTCTCAAATTCATGAGGTTAGAGGGTGTGGATTTCTTGCTCTATCATGTGATGGGATGCTGGTAAATGAGAGGTGGCCACATCTTATCTTTCCCTTCTGCCAAGAATGAAATCCAGTTTAATGCAGCATTGGCCACCCAGTGGGAAGAAACTGCCCGATTCCACTAAATCCCACTGCCATTCAGTGCAGGAATAAATGGTACCTGCAATGCAGATCCTTATTGACATGGTGGAGGGTATTTCCATTTAGGGTGCTGGGTAAATAACTCAGAGTTATTTGTATTGTTAGACTACAGGTGTCTGTGCCTTGCTCTAATAATTGCCGGGAGAAAAGGGTTTAGTTTTCTCTGAAGCCTGGAGTTAAGAAAGAATTTACCCATTCTAGGCAATTTACCAGATTGAGAAAGTTGCTCAATTTTTTGGTACTTCTGTTTTGTTACTTCTATTGAAAATATTCCTCTAGGGTAGAAGATGCTTTTCGTCTTCCAGTAAAGAATGGCTTTGCTGACACACAGTCAGTTTATTTAGTGCTTGCCATGCCATTCTCTCTCTTAGACTGGCGTAATCCGTGGATCTGATGTCACCTCCTATTGGACATAGGCACGGGGAATCACTCCCTCCTCTATTTTCTGTGATAGGACTCATCATGTACACATCTGATGTATCTGTCTCTCTTCCCACCTCCCCAAGGACTGATGTGAAGTCTTTTTTATCTTTATGTCTCCAACACTACACAGTACTAGGGATTTAACAAATGTCCTCTTCCTTCTGCTCTCAAATCGTGAGCGATATGAACTCATCATTTTGAGCAATAATTATTTTGAAGTAGATATATAGAGATGTTAGCTAAATAGACCAGTTGATGCCAGATTAGAAAACCCAGGTTTGACCATAGAAAAGAATTGCAGCTTGAACACTGCCTTTCAGTAAAACTAATGTTTCTCTCTCTTGGGCCAGAAGTTTCAGAAAAGTGGAAAATGCCTGGAAGAGAAGGTGTGTACCTCGGAGCCTCCTTTAGAGGGGATCATTGGGCCCTTGTATTTTGATGGTTGAGTCTTCATACCAACCTCCTGGCCTCTAGAGGGTCTCCTGAGAGTAGGCTGACTTCCCAGGTGGAAGGGCTTTCTGGGGAGGCAAGGGTGAGGTGGCAGAAACTAGAATCAATCTTGATCCTTTAGGGACTTGACCCTGGGGCAGAGGGCTGGGGATGTGAATGGAAGGAGAAGTACACCTTGAGTTCTGGCACTGGAACCCTAAACAAGGGGTACCCTTGGCTGAATTTAACACTAAAGAATGGGACCCAGCTGCCTCAGCAAAATACACTGTGTAAACAGGATCCTGGACTGCATATCAGGTAACCATACTTTCTGGTTTACTGAAACAGTCCTGTCTGATTCTCTTGTCCTGGCATAATTATTAATACTGTCCTTTTCTGTTATCAAATGTGTCTCAGTTTGGACAATAAATTATTTGATCAACTTGTGTAGGACCAGTTTTCAATAGTGACATCGTGTGGCCTCAAGAAGCAATGACAGTGAACTAAGGAGTCTTAAAGTTAGTTCCCTGCTGGTGTGGAAGCCAGAATGACCCCTCCCTGCTCTTGGACTTCAGAGCTGTCAAGGCTTCTGACGATTTAGGAGGGTGGGAAAGCTTCAAGAGGAAATTGGAATATATTTTGTTAATACGGCATATGGACGCTTCAGCAATTAATTGGAAAATAAGAGATTTGACCATACGTAGGTTATCCTAAGTTTGTGAAGCAGTTTACATCTGTCATATGCTATTTACTTTAGAATCCTTGCTTACTTTAGCCCTAGAGACCTAATTCTTTACTTGGTACTTATATGGGGCTCTTTGCAGTAGTTTTCCAGTATTTCAATCTATTTTATAATTTTTTACTGGTAGGAAGACACATGAAATGAGCTACAGCTTTAAAAGTTTATTTAATTGCCACAGTTGGAAGTTTAGTGTAAACTAGCGATTAGGTAGGTGATTTACCTGCTCAATATCCCTTTCCCCTTCTTTGGGAACTCAGCCCTTTTTCCTGCGGGAAACACACTCCATATAGTTTAGGTGGGGCTGACTCCCTTATCTCTTTCTTGTCCCCTTACCTCCCCTATCCCTTACAAGAAGTTGGACTTATGATCCATGCATTCATGCTTGACCAACCAGAGTACTCCCATCCCTTTGGCCACACTGATTGTGGGACAAGGTAGGCAGTTGACCCCAGCTAGGTCAGAATCTCTGAATTTTCCTGCTGGAGCTATTGGAAAAGACTGTTTCATTCTGCTAAGGTTGCTACTCTGGTAGTGTGAGACTTAGGCTGTTGGGGGGACATCTTGCCACTAAAAGAGAATGCCCATTCAAAGAGAGGAGAGAGAAAGATGAAATCCTGATAACATTGCTTTGAGGCTTTAGGATCCAGCCATGCCTGAAGCCCCAGATTTTTAGTTCCATGATGCAATACTTTTTTTTTTCGCCGTACATTTGTAAATTAGCTTAAGATAAGGTCACTTGCAGTCAAAGAGTTCTAATATAAGTAGTGAGCAATCTTCTGCATTGCAGGGCTCCAGTCTTTTAGATTTTTAAGAATCACTAGAAGAATTGATCAACTCCAACTTTGCTTAGCATTTATGACATTATTCCAAAAATAGTCTAGTTTGTTTACTATCTGGTACTTTTTAGATTATCCATATAGCCACAGAAATCTATTGACAGAGCTCTTTACTGCGCAAGGTCAATCTTGGAAGGACAACATGGGGAGGGAAGGTAATCAAGGAGGCAAACCTCAAGGGAAAAACTGAAGAAAACCTCTTCTCTCCACAAGTTCCGCTGTCTCCTAGTCTACAGACTCTGACACCACTTGCCTTCTTTTGCTCAAGGATATTTCTTGGGGATCAGTGGGGTAAGATGTCCTCTGTCTCAAGAGTAAGAGATGGAAAGAGAAAGCATCTTAGCTTCCACAAGATGCCCCTGTTCAGTATCTTGGGCAGTATGTTGACAAGGAGATCTGGATTTATAAAACTTATATGGAAAAAAAAGTAGCACAGAAGTCTGATGAAAAATAGGGTGGTGAAAAGGAGACATCGAAAAATCCTGAAAAGAGAAAGCCAAGAAACTGTTAACCAGAGGTTACAAATCCCAGAACAAGATAAGAAGTCATACCTAAATGCATGTCTGGCTCCTTCTTGATATTCAAATATGTCCAATTAATTGTTGTCTCCCTTCCCAACAACTCCTTATAAAGGCAGCCCCTTCCCACATGCTGGCCTCCCAGCTACTCTCTCTCCCATCACTGTGTTTTCTTTTAGCACTTATCACTATCTGAAATTATCTTGTTCCTTTATTTTTTTTGTTTATTTTTATTTTTGTTTTGGAAAATTGTTTTCCAAAGTGGTTGCACCAGTTTATACCCCACCAGCAGGGTGTATGTTTCTGTGGATCCACATTCTCTCCAACGCTTGATATCATCAGATTTTTAATATTTCACCAACCAAATGAGTGTAAAGTAATATCTTATTATGGTTTTGGTTGACATTTCCCTGATGAACAATGATGCTGAACATTTGTTTGTAGGTTTATTGGTCTCATATATTTCCTTTTGCCCTTTTATCTACTAGGTGGGTTGGGCTTTTCTTATTAATTTGTAGGAGTTATTTATATGTTCTTGATATTAATGCTTTTCCGTGGTGTGTAGTTTGAATATCTTCCCTCTACTTTATAACTTTCACTCACTCTAAGGTATTAAAGAACAAAAGTTATTAATTTTAATAAAGCCTAGTTTATCAACATTTTCTTTAATTAGAATCAATGCTTTTTGCATTGTTTAAAAAATCATTCCCTACCCAAAGGCCTAAAAGATACTCCTATTTTCTATTAAGCATTTATGCTTGTTTAAAAATATGTTCATTGGGCTGGCCCCGTGGCTTAGCAGTTAAGAGCACACGCTCCACTACTGGCAGCCTGGGTTCGGATCCCGGGCGTGCACCAATGCACCGCTTCTCCAGCCATGCTGAGGTGGCATCCCACATACAGCAACTAGAAGGATGTGCAACTATGACATACAACTATCTACTGGGGCTTTGGGGAGCAAAAGGGAAAAAAAGGAGGAGGATTGGCAATAGATGTTAGCTCAGGGCCAGTCTTCCTTGGCAAAAAGAGGAGGATTGGCATGGATGTTAGCTCCGGGCTGATCTTCCTCACCAAAAAGAGAAAAAAAATGTTCACCATGAGGCTGGCTGGTGGCATAAAGGTTAAGTTCACGCGCTCCTCTTTGGGGGCCCGGGGTTTACAGGTTCAGATCGCGGGCGCAGACCTACGCACTGCTCATCAAGCCATGCTGTGGCAGCATCCCATATACAAAATAGAGGAAGATGGGCACAGATGTTAGCTCATGGCCAATCTTCCTCACACACACACAAAAAATGTCCACCAATTCTTTGATACTCTTCCCTTCAAGAGATTCCCCTCCCTTGGAGTGTGGACTGGACTTAATGACTTGTTTCTAAAGAATAGAATATCATGGAAGTGACAGTGTGTGACTTCCTAGATACATGCTAAAGGCATTGCAGCTTCCTCCTTACTCTCAGGAGGAAGCCAGCTGTCATGTGGCGAGGACACACAAGCAGCCCTGTGGAGAGTCCATGTGATGAGGAAAGGAGACCTCCTGCCACAACCAGCAAAACTTGCCAGATGTGTGAGTTGCCAGATGTGTGAGTAAGCTACCTTGGAAGTAGACCCTCTGTGCTCAGACAAGCCTTCTAATGACTGTAACTTTGGCCAACATCTTAACCGCAGCCTCATAATAGATCCTGAGCTGGGACCACCCAGCTAAGCAGCTCACGGATCCCTACCCACAGAAATGGTGAGATTATAAATGTTTGTTGTTTGAAGCCACTGAGTTTTGGGGTAATATGTTATGCAGCAGTAGATAAATAATGCTGAGTTTTAAAGACTTTTTTTTTTTGGCATTTAAGTCCTTAACACATTTGGACTTGCTTTTTGTATATACTCTATAGTAGTGATCCAATCTCATTTTTCCTCTCATCTGGGTAACCATTTTCCCCCCACCATATTTATTGAACAATTCTTCCTTTCCCTCCAACACATAATCGCTGTTACATGTCAAAGTTCTATATGTGCACTCTTTCTGAGCTCTTCTATTCCACTGATGGATTTTCTTGTTCCTGTGACAATACCACACTGTCATGATTACTGTAGCTTCAGAGTAAGTCCTGATATCTGCAAAAGCATGTCCCTCCTTTCTTGCTTTTCTTTAAAATTATCTTTACTCTTCCATATACAGTGTATTTTAGTATCATTTTATTCAATTCCATGAAAAATCTTTTGGGGAGTTTGATTGGAATTAAATTGATTTTTTAAATCATTTAGAGACCATTGATATATTTATGATATTAAGGCTATCTATCCATAATCATGGTATTTCTCTTCTTTCATTCATGTTACTTTTAATATTTCCTAATAAATTTCTATAAATTTCCCTATTTGGTCTTTTATTTTTGTTGTTAGGAAAATCGGCCCTGAGCTAACATCCGATGCCAATCCTCCTCTCTTTGCTGAGGAAGATCGGCCCTGGGCTAACATCCGTCCCCATCTTCCTCTACTTTATATGGAATGCCGCCACAGCATGGCTTGACAAGTGGTGCATCGGTGCACACCCGGGATCCGAACCTGCGAACGCTCGGGCCACTGAAGCGGAGCATGCGCACTTACTTAACCGCTATGCCACTGGGCCAGCCCCTCCCTATATGGTCTTGATTTCTTCTTTAACTGATGAATTATTTTGCCCTTGTGGTTTTAATACGATTTGCACGAGCAAACCTGCACTGCTTCCTTTGCTATATTACTCTTATCCAGTTGTGCTGGGCTCTCCTGCCCCAGGACAAATTCACTACCCACTTCTACTCACCAGTCAAAAACAGCCCCTTCCCCACAATTTTTCTTAAATTTTCGTCTAGAGTTGATCTTGGTGACAGGAGCCAGGATCTATTTTAGTACAGCATCTCAGTCATAATTAGAATCAGAAGACCTTTACAAACTTCTTTCTATCACTCTCCCTAAAGCTGGATACAATATTCGTGAGAAGGTTCTGGAACGACATCTCTAGAATGATATTCCCAGGGAAAATCCTAGGGATAACCTAGCTTTCTTATCTCTTGAGTCAGTGCCCAATATACCAGTCCCACAGGATGTTGGAACAGAATAAGAGGAAAGACATCTGTAGTTTGATGTGATGAGCTAGACATGCAGGATGTCGTCAGGTTCTCTTCAGGATACCAACTCTCCTTGAGGCAGACATTCTTATCCTGAGAGTCCACATGGGCAATTCCATGCCAGGCACTGGTGTTAAAGTACTGGCGAAGGCAGCCTAGGAGTTCTAGGGAAAATTCTGCTAGTTGTTCTGAGAATATTGTATTTAGGCATATTGAAATATGTAATACTTCACTTATCTGATATGAAGGGGTATCCCCCTTAAGCAAATTTTCCAGACAGTTGGAGCTGACCTTTAAGCAGCAATAATTTTATGTTAACCATTTTGATGGAACTCTTTCTAAATCATATTTCATACCACTTTGAATATATGTTTCTCTATGTCTTCTTACACAGATTATATTGAACACAATTTGACCTTTTCTTGAAAATGTGGGGACTTCTTGAATACCAATTTTACTTTGCTATCACAGTGATTCTCTCAGGACTAATATCCACTCAGTTGTTTGAATCTTGAGTTCTTATTCAGTTTAACAAGTATTTTTGAGCAATTATCATGTACTGGATACTGTTAGGTGCTATCTCTTTTTCACAATCATTTTCTCTCTCTTTTATCTGCTGTTAGGCAGTGGTATACTTGCATTTAGAAGTTCTCTCCCTATTACAATTTCTTTTTTCACATCAAAGGAGTAATGTGCTGACATTGTAACAAGATTTGAGGGAGGCACATCTCACACAATAGCGTGAAAACCTAATCATCAAGCTATGAACCACAAGGGATCTCCCCATTTCTAATCTACTGATGCTACTGGGAAACCAGATACATCAAGCTAACTCAAATTGTTAAGGGTGAAGGGAGTAAGTATGAGATTTGCCACATCTCTTTTAGGTGATAGGATTCCTATTTCTGATTACCACTAGGCCATCGGCTTCTAATACTGGAAAGTTGAGATTAGTAATTGCCTTTAGACAAGGAAGTCATAACATTAGAACTGAGAAATGTCATTGACGACACTAGTTTGTTGACTCTGTGTGTGTGTGTGTGTGTTTGTGTGTGTGTACAAGGTCCTCCTCGTCTAGACTTTGCTGTCTTCCAGGATGGCTAAGCAGAACTCCCAGTTTCCTCGGAAGTTTACTCAAAGATATTTACTTACCTTTTACAGAAGCATGTTCCCTTCTTTTGGAGAGAATTATCCTGGGAGAAGAAGAAAGGAGGTTGATAAATAAGCAATTTCTGGAAGCTATCATCACTGTTAAATAATATTCAGTGAGCCGTTAGTTAAATGTTATATTTAGATAATATCTTACAAATGTTTTTTGTATGCATAAGCAGATGAAATTTTCAAAGACACATATATACATAAATACAAAAATATAATTTTTTTAACCTTTTTATATACTGACAGGAATAAATGATGGCATAGAAAGCTAAAGTATGTTGCCCAAGGTCATACAGCTAGTAAGTGGCAGGGCCAGGCCTTGAACCTGGATCCTCTGAATCCACATTTTGGGCTCTCTTTTTTTTTTTTTTAAAGATTTTATTTATTTTTTGCCCCCAAAGCCCCAGTAGATAGTTGTATGTCACAGCTGCACACCCTTCTAGTTGCTGTATGCGGGACTCGGCCTCAGGCTGGACAGAGAAGTGGTGCCTCGATGCGCACCCAGGATCCGAACCCAGGCCGCCAGCATCGCAGCGCGCGCACTTAACCACCAAGCCACAGGGCCGGCCCTGGGCTCTCTTAACTACACCCTTAACTTCTGCTTAGCCAGTGACCCTTAGAGAAGTTTACAGGCTATGAAAACCACACAAACATATTCTAAGAGATAAATTTTAACAACTATAAAAATGTAAAGATAAGGATATATCCTGGATTTCTGTAGCATCTCTGTTCCAAAGTATTTTCTCAGTTATTTTATTTTTCTTTTAACTTCCTTGTGAGATAAAAAGGAATAGGAATTATGATCACATTTTAAAATTGTGGAAATGAGGCTCACAGAATTGGAATTAGAAAGAAACTTTTTGGGTTACAAATTTTATGCTATAGCTTGAGTGAGATTAAGGGGCATGCCAGCTGGCCAGTTGCTCAGGCAGCCTCTCTATAAAGATTGCTCAAACATCATAGGTCATTGAACCATCATCAGACTATAACAATCTTGATGAAGACGGCTCTGTTGTTTCTCTGATAGGTACTCGGAAGGAATATTTTGATGAGTCGCTGGGAATGGATGGTGTGACACATCAGGGAGCATGCCAAGCTCTGTTGTAGAGAGGTGGAGTCCACTTAATGTCAGGAGTTTTGTTTGCTAAGTGGAATATGTAAGCTTGGGGCCAGAAGAACTTGTTTGGACAATGAGAACCATGGTCACTGTGGACATGGTCTAACATATATCCAAACATCTGAATGACCCCAAGGACAATGGTCGATTGTTGGTATTTGCTTTCAAGGAAAAGATAACTTCTCTTTTCTGAGATTATAAATACTATATATCTCAACGACATAAAATTTCTGGTGAATGTCAACCTTGGCTCTAAAGCTAATATAAATTAAAAAATTAAAGTCCAACAAAAGTTTATCTTTTAGCCCTGTGTACTTGCTGCCACAGACACCAAGCAGGCCAAGAGGTCTGGTGCTCTATATCCAATTCTGTTTCCTTTGCATATGTGCTGGTGACATCAGGATGTTAAATGTGAACAGACACTGAAGCTGTATCATAAAGAAACAGTGACTGCCTATGTTTTAACTCGCAGGCCAACTCTGATTAGATGGTGAGAGATGCCCTGGTGCTCTGTGTTGTGAAAGATTCGGGACCGTGTTGGGATCATCAGGAAAGAGAACTGTGATTGTGGGAATGGGAGGAGTAGTCTATGTGTCATGTGTTGGCCTCCTCTCCATAGAGCGGATCCTCAGTTAATGTTCCTCGTTGCTAACATTCTGAACTCTCTTAGATCTTAGGCTGGTTTCTTTGAGAACACGTCATTTGCATGACTGTAAGAGAGGGAAGACAGTTGTTCCTTAGCATCGTCTTTATTTGTTTAGGGTTGAAATTAATCTGGTACTGTTTTTGGAACATTCACATGGGAAGACCGGTATATGTTTGGTGGCTGATAGTGTTTTGGAAACCCCTTTGAAAGGCAATGACACTGAGAGAAACTGAAGATCGAGTGGAGCACTTACCTTATTATTTTGGCTGTTACACTCTTTTCTTGCAGAGTTCATGCTCAAGACTTTTGATCTAGGGAGAAAAGAACCAAGATAGGGATTGAATAAAGCACACTCACATATTCATACTACACGATGGTTATTTAAAAACAGTTTTATATTCTAAAGCTATGCTGTTCACTGTTGTAGCCAGTGGCTACATGTAGCTATTTACATTTATATTAATTAAAATCTAAAAAAATCAGTTTCTCAGTCACATTAGCCATATTTCACATACTCAGTAGGTGGCTAGTGGCTATCTATTGGATAGCACAGAAACTTCTATTGGGCAGCCTTGTTCTAGAATCTTAGCTTAGCAGTCAAGCCATACTTAATGTTCAGGAAGGATCTTGGGAGACTTTGTGTCCTTTGGTGGTGAGAACCTCCAAGTCCTCTGCCCAGGCCACAGTGTGTACCTGGCCTGTTTAGAGGCTATGTGCAGTTTGGGTCTCTTTCTCTTGATCCCCAGATTCCAAAATATTTAGTAAATAGAAATACTTCTTAACTGAATTGAGATTTAACTTCTAAAGAGGGTCAAGAAATGGAAGTGAGGTTTTTGGTTTTGGTTTCTCACCATTTCAACTCTTTGACAAACTCTAGGAGCATTTTTTGTGGGGACGGCTTTTCTGTTACCATTTCTAATTTTTAATGTTCATACTTTACTGTAGTATACAGTTTGAGTTTTATAATACGGTAGCCTTAGTGTGTGTCTAGAGAGTAGTTTCATCCCTATCCCATATGACTGAGTTTCTGTATATTTGGGGGAAATGAGGATAGTAATTAGTTTCAAGGCCTCTTCTGTGAAATATAAGGAATGCCCTCCTTATCAAGATGCCTGATCACTAACCCTTTCTAAAGCACATGTTCCTGCCCTTAATATAAACCCAAATAATTGACAACGTGATAAACGTGAGGGGAGATGTGTTTCTGTGATCTTTTAAGAAGGATGGGGGAAGGACCTGTATTTTAAAGTTGTGTGGGTTAGTGGGGGTCAACCAGATGGCTAACAGAGGCGAAAGATATGTGGTGTTGGGGCTCACTCAATTCCAAATAGGAATTGGTCAGAGAAACGTTTGCTCTGGCCCAGGCTGAGATGGAGTTACCACCAAAACCAGATGTTCCTTCGTTTGCCAAAGCTCACACTTCTCTCTCAAGGAACCGAGTCTCTAGTTCTTCTTCTATTTTCCTCAAAGTCTCCTGGTACTTCTTTAAAGAGGAATAAAAGAAACCACAGTCACTAATTAGAAGCTTTATGCTTTTTCTAATCATAATAAGCACACACTATTACACAGTAACATCAGTGTTTGGTATTCTCACTGCCACTTTGTTTCATTTCCTAGACCCCACCCACCACTACTCCTGATCTCTCACCACTGGGCAAGTCCCTGGGGCAATTGGGATTATAAATAGGAAAAGTACTCATTATTAATTTAGAAGCACAGAGGTTAGGAGACCAGGGCAGGAATAGAATGACATTGGTGGTGGAGTGCTGAGAACCTTAAAGTCCCTTTATAGTGCCGCCCTGAAGAGTTAAAATTGCTCCAGACAGTATTCTTTGAAAAGCCTGGTTCGATTTCACCCTGTACCTTGACAAACACTTTGCTATCCCTTTACTTAGAAGCTGTACCTTTATGCAGAGGGCCTGATCTTCACAGAGCTGGGCCACCAATGCATAGTCTTCCATTACCTGGGAAGCCAAAATTCAGTCTTAAGTTTCTCTCAGTAAATTGCTATAGGAACAAGAGTATATTTGTTTACTCCTAAGTCCCAGACCCTAGATGTGGTTTACTAATTGTTCTAAATATGTTTTCGCTGTACATAGGAACTCATTTCCTTTTTTGAGGATAAACAAGGTCTATTTTGCAGTCCCAATGGGAATTATTTGGAGACAGTTGGGAGAAGAATAGGTACTAATTTGTGAAAAATATAGATTTTGGAATGTATCCTGTAAGAACCGTTAAAGAAAAGGTAATCTAGAGGACTGTATTCATCTTCATTTTCTTCATCCCCTCCTCAGCCCCTAATGGTCTGGATCTGGGACTTTATTATAACCTGATCACCTGAGGAAGGTATTAGATCATCTGACTGAGGATTAAGTTTCCCTTCCTTTGGGAGAAGTAACATTGAAATTACTGTCCTTACCTTGGCCAGCTCCTTCTCTTGGTCCGCACAGGAAGCTTCCAGCTGTTGTAACTTAACCTATAGAAAGGAAAGGAGACCCGTAACTCAGCAAGGTGAAAACAGGATTCCATTCTGTAATGCTGTCTCACAGGTTATCTCACAGGCAGTTGAAGTGCATCAGGCCTGATTTCAGATGTCTTTTTGATGGAGGGGAGTCAAACCATCCAGCCTCCTTTGCAGCTGCCTGGTGAACCTGCTCTTCTGCACTCTTGAGCTCTTAGCATTTATCAGTGCTACTTTTACCTCAAACTTAAATTCATAGCTTCCTTCTTCCTTAGCTACTTCTCTTAGAAAAAACGTCAATCTTGAAAAACTTCACTCTTCCTTCTCCTTTTATATATTCATTGCTCAATCCTTTCTCTGTATTCTGTCTTCCCTCTTTTCCTTCCTTAAATATTTGATGAAATCCTATTCTATATCAGCCACTAAGCTAGAGTGACTGGGAGAGGGTGGGGGGAATACTGAGCGTACAATGCTGAATGGGATTGATAGGCTCTCTGCCTCACGGAGCTGACATTCTAGTTGGGGGACATAGCCAATAAGTCAACATGACAATGATAGGTCCTATGAAGTAAATAAAAACAGTAATGTGATGAGAGTGATGGCATGAGAGCTATTACAGGTGGTTGGTGAAGGCCTCTCTGATTAGATGATACTTGAGCTGAAATCTAAATGATAAATATTAGTGAAATGGAGATCTGGGAGAGGTAAGTTCCATGCAGAGGTTACAGCAAGGGGCAACCAGATTATGTAGGGCCTTATAGCTTCTAGAAGGAGTTTGGTTCTTTATTCTAATTACAGTGAGAAGCCAGGAAAGAGCCTGAAGTAGTAAAGACACAATCTGATTTGTGTTTTTAAAGAAGAATCTTTTCTATGTGTGGAAAGGAGACTGTTTAGAAGTAAGAGTAGAAGGAGGAAGACTAGTTAGGAGGCTACTTCAGCATCCAGGTGAAGGGTTATGGTGGCTCACAAAAGGGAGTAGTAATAGTAGTAGTAGATAGAGAGTAATGGATGCATTTGGGATATATTCTGTAGGTAGGGCAGACGTGACTGCCTCTCTCTTTCCTTCCTTTTCAGCTCTATTGTTCCCACTTTCATCTAGGTACCATTATTTCACATCTGGACTCTTTCAACAGTTCCTTTCCCCTCCAGTCAGTTACCTCCAGGGCCAGAAAGCCAAATGTGCTAAGGGCTGTATTTCCAAGACAATGGTCTGAGTCACAAGAAGTTGCAGCAGGCATCCTCTTAAACTGCTGAACTGATCACCAGTGTGTAAGAGGAACAGAAGCAAAAGTGATGCTGTATATTTCACACAATTGGAAATACCACCTGAGAATTCTACAAAACATGTAAGCAAAAGGGAGTGATTCAAAGGGTTAGTAATTTTCTAGAACTCTTTAGGGTTGGGCTGAATGCCGCCAGGAAAATAATAGCCATTGTTCTGACAACTCCCGGAACTCTCTAGAGTCTATCAGCTCGGCTTGCCTGACATAGCCAGCACAGCCAGACTTAAAGTGTCACCACTGGATTCTGGCAGGCTTACTGTCAGGAAAACTTGTTCTGGGCAGAAGAAGGAAGAAAATCAATCTGCTGACTGCTGCAGTTATATGGCAAGGATAGTCAAGGGGCTTCATAATCCTTTCTCATCTGAGCTCCAGTTTTTCCTGATGTACATGCAGGCTCCAGATTTCTTTCTTTCCAGATAAGTTTCCTGGATGAGCATGGCAAAGCAAGCTCACTTGGTGGCTTTGGACTTCCGTTTTTTTGGGGGGCGGGGGGTGGGGTGCATCAACACTAATTTGACCAACAGAAGATAGAGGAGTAATTGTCTATCCTTTCATTTTCTATTTCTATTTTCAGTGTGTCCCTATCTTCAGAGGCTTGATACACACAGTATGGGCTTAAGGGTGGGCTTAAGAAGCTAAAGAGAAATTAGATAAGGACAACGCAAAGACGTAATTCTCCAGAAAGTATCAAGTAGAAATTTTATCTGATCTCTGAATAAAGTAAATAAGTCTCTAATTCTTCTTGCGTGTTTGATCAGATGGTTGTGGTTGTGCCCCGATTATTAGCTCTGGAACACAAATAGAGAGATGCTAAGCACTGTATGATGTGCTTAGCAGCTAGAGGTCACTAAATACTTGAGTGACCAATTGAATAAATCCTTTTCTGGATTGGAATCAACGACAGGGTGTGTAAATAGCCTAGCACACAGTAGATTTACAAATCCTAGCTCTGCCTCTAAGAATTCATGCATATGCCTCAGCCAGGCTTTTAAATAATGGCTTTAAAATTATGTAGCTTTTCAAGGTTTTAGCCCTCCAAAAAAAGGAAAGAGTATTTTATATACACAGTTTCATTCAGTTTTCAAACTGAGGCTGGGAGGGACTGATTAAATTGCCCAACTTCATACTAAGTGCTGGGGCTGAGATTTAAACTAGGAACTTCAACTGCCTCCAATGTTATATATGCATTTGTGCATTTGTGTTCTGCTCTTGCTGATGGAAGTGAGAACAAAATATGTGGCTTCAGAGGGAAATTCCTTACTAAGGGCAGAGGAGAATTCAGTACTCAGTAGCCTAGGCTTAAGCATAACATGGGCTAAAACTACAAAGACTTTATCTCAACTTTGACAGTTGTTTCTACTTGAAGGCTTGTTTCCTGGTCACCTGGCCCAAACCCACTCAAAATTACTTTTTCGTTTACCTTTAACTCTTCTGGGGTTTCGTTTAGATTGCCTTGTTCACACTTGGTTGCCTTATGTGATTTCTTTGTAAGCTACGGTTTCAAATAAAATAAAATACATTTCAAATAAAACATACATCAAATACAAAATAAAGAAGACAGCAACATTCTCTGGTGTGTGCAGGCCAGTAAATTGGCCTTGATAAAAGCTGCCAGCAGATGGTCCCTTGGGGGGTACTCGGTGCTCTCGGAAACACTCTACCTCCTTCTTCTCATTATTCTTGGCCACCAAAGCTGGAGTCCGCTCAAGGCAGGAGTACTTCCCTGGACCCCTAATCCATGCTGGGTTGCTCAGGGCTGCAGGCATGGGTCAGAGACTAGGGTAATCATGGGAAGCCCACTGTATTCTGAGCAGGAGTTGAGGTAGAGGGAATGGCTGGACAAGGAAAAGGGAATCCTTGAGAATTAAGTATTTTTAAGTCTCTGCTGAAAGGAAAATTAACATCTCATCACAAAGGCCCCAGTCAATCACATCAACAGAGTGTGTCGGCATCCATTTTCTTGCGCTAGAATGAAGAATCCACGGGATCGTTGAATACCCCACCCACTCCTCTCTCCTGAGCATGCAGGGAAACTCCAGGGCATTTAGGCATGAGGCTCAGCCTCAAGAGAGTGGAGCAGTACTGCGCACCCCCAGAACAGGCCTTTCTGACGGAGGGGTCCCTCTAGATCATTTTCCCTCCCTTGCCTCTTGATGACTGGGGCCGCTGTGGGGATGCTGGGAACACAACAGCCCCATCCCACCTTTCTTTGAAGTTCTGTTATACTGTGGATCAGAGTCTCGTTCTTCCTTTCCTGTTGAGAGAAAGAAGCAGAGTATGTGTGCGTGTGCACAGCACCGTCATCTACATCCAGTTGGTTGTTCTCCATTTCACTCCAATGATATTTTCCTGTAGTAACTCTACCTTACTGCATAATGTCAAGTAGAGGACCTGTGGTTTGATCTCAATATACACACACCAACTTACCAGAGATAGAGATGCCACTTGTAGGGCTTCCTAGTGTTACATATTACCAAGGAAAACCTGCCCTCCACACATCCCCTGCCATGTGTGGACACATTCTACCATGACTTCCGAGTTGACTGGTCTTTGTATGTAAAGAGGGGAGCTTATCTGACAGCGGATGATAGACAGGATGAGGAATAAACCTATCAAATGGCTCTTCCCAGCTTCTTGCTTACAAGTCTGACTGTTTCTTCTTCCAGCTCCTGCAAGGCTCTTTCCCTTTCCATTGTGGTGCAGATCTCCTTCTCCCAATCCTCATCTTCCGCCAAATCTCTGGTCTGAGTGATCTCACTTTCCAGCCTGGGCGACACAAGCACACACTTTGAGGAACTGGCAGTTTCAGAACTGATACAACACACATGTCGATTTTAAGGGTACTTCAATGACAATAAACACGAATCTCAAGTTGGAGTCCCTTCTTTCCCGGATCCTTAGAATCAGAGTCACTTTAAAGGCAGGAAAAGTAAGAGTCCCCTGATTCCCAAGTCAAACACCCCAATGTTCTTTTAACTCAGGCAAATATCACCCAGTCTTTTAGGAATCTCTTTGAAACTTGCGATATTTCAGGGTTTGAGCCACAGAGAAATGCCAAAGAATGCAGAACCTTTTGTTGTATGAGATGTAAGTCTCTAGAGCAAGCAGGAAAATTCAATTTTGTCTCTTTTCTACCCTAACCTTTGGATTGCGAACTTCCCTCATAAAACACCAACACTCACCTCTGAATCTCATCTTCTTTCTCATGGATTTTGAGAAGAAGTTCCTGATTTGCTTCATCTATTTTCTGCATATCCCTTTCAAGGTCCATGTTCAAACTGTCAATGTTCCTCTTTGACTGGGCCAGTCTTAAGATTTCCACTTTCTCTGACCTATAGACTCAGCCCCCCAAATGAACAAGAGTCAGTTTTCTTAAGATCAATAATCTTTGGGCCAAAGGAGATGTCTAGAAGATGTGTAATTCATTAACCTGGCTGTTTCTGAGAGCACACCTTTTCATTTTCAATCTTAGGAAACTATATTTCTTAATCGTGCTCTACAGTTTGTTTTAATAATTCTCAACTTGGTCAGCAAGGGAGGTCTTTCCCAGGCTTTCTCGTCCAAAGTGCTCAATATAATAGTGCACCTCCGCTCTGGCTCTAGGAGAAGATTTGCTTCTCTAAGTAGCCTCTTGCATTGGAGAGAATGGTTTCTCAGACAAATTGCTCAGAAAATCTGCCCATGCAGTACACTTTTATCGAGTACTTTTATCCAGGCAGCTGGCACATCACTCACGGTTGGGCCTGGCTTTAGCACAGCCACAGACGTTCCCACCAGCAGGTAGTCTTTCCCTCCCTCTACCATCTCAAAACTTCTCCTCCATTGCCTGCTGCAAAGCTTGAGAATCTACCATGGGAGTCACTCCATTGAGCACCCCCAGATAGATCTAGGCATCCACTTTCAAGAATGCAAACATCTTTTTTGAAGTAAATTTGAATGAAATAATGGTAACGCTAGAGTATTCTAGAAAAGACTCATGGGAAGCTCTCAAAAAACTTTTCTTTTTCTTGTGTGTCAATTAATTAATTGTTTTGTCTTTGAGATGATTAACTGGGAATAAGGTAGTGAGGCAGAGGGACCTTTTTTGAGTAGGAATGAAGAATGTTTTTAGAAAAGAGAGTCCTACCTTGGAATGGCTGGCTTGCATGGGGGATTTACAATATCTATAACTTCAGGAGGGCATGGAGTGCTTGGTGTGGAGTGCAGTGGGGGATGGACAGATAGGGGTAGAAGGAGAAGAGAAAACTAGAAGATGATAGCAGACCTACTTCATACCTTGGTCTTTGGATGTTGCTTTGCATAAATGTGATTACTTACTCATAATCTAGCTGATCTTCATTGTGTTCTTCCATTGTAGATTCCCTAAAATACCAGCAGAGATGTATCTAATGAATTGGGGGAATGGGTCCATTTATGAAACACAGAGTAACTAGCCCAGAGCCCCAAAAGATGGGAACAAAATTAACTGATTTCCTCCCTCCAATTCCCACATTTTGGCCACGACAAAACCCAGCCTCCTGATTTTTCTGTCCATGATCTGATTATGCCTCAGTCATGATACAGTGGGGATACAGGAATAATGCTGAAAGTTCAATAGATGTCCTGCTAGCAGATCTATTCAGAGATGGTTCACCAACACAAAACCCTTTGGAAATTTATACATGGCAATAAGAATCAATACAGGTTATCAATTGTTCCTAAGCCCCTTTTTGCTCTAGGCCCAGCTGCTTTCCTTAGGGCCCCATGGACATAGATGTAGGCGCATAACTGCTCTGAAAAGTAATCTCTTTGCTCTCTAGTCTGGCCTCTGCAAGAATCTCCAGATATTAAGATCTTTAGTATTAAATAGGGCTCAGAAAAACCAAGCAACGGTAAATAATTTGGCTTGTCCTGCCCCTTAGTTTCCTCTTTTCCTCCATTTCTTTGACAAACTCTACTTCCCTTCTGATGTGTATGGTCTTCCTGATTCTGCCCTAGTCAGTTAGCTTCTGAAGAATCCAACCTTTCCCCGCTGGAACAATCCAATAGAATCTCAGAACCTTCCTAGGTGTCATAACTCTGCTATTGACATAGGATAGGTGGGGCAGCATGTCACAGTGGGTGGGTGGCAACCGTTTCTCATCATTTGTGCAGAGTTCAGAGCCTACATGGGTGTGTGTGTTTCGTGGCCAAGTCTTCCCTTTGGTAGCAGTAGGTTCAGTGGATCTGATTTCTGGGCAGTATGAAGGGGTAGCTGCTATCTTTTATTTCTCTGGCAGATTGAGCTCCCTCCCTGCCCAAGTGTGACTAATATGGGAACTCTGGGTCCTAAGACCAGCAGTCTAATCCCTTAGTGTAGCCAACTAACTACTCATTTGTTCGACAACCAGGCACTAGGGAGAGAGAGTGAACAAAACAGGCAAAGCACCTGCCCTCAAGGAATTTACATCCTAGGGTGTGTGTGTGGGTGGGTGGGTGGGGTGTAACAGTAGCAACAAAATAAATGAGTAAATTTATTTTATTTGGTATAATAAAAGAGGAAAATGCTATGAAGAAACATAAATGGGTGAAGGCGGTAAGAGGAAATATAGTGAGTATTGTTTATGTGGGAGGGAAGTTGTTGCTGTTTTAAATAGAGGGTGCAGAGAAAGCAGCTGAGCGTTCTCAGAGCCCAAAGTGTGGTGTAGATGTTAAGAGGCCTAGTGAACTGGAGACCTTAGGTCGTGCTGAGGTGGATGCAGAATCCACAGACCTCACAATCATGGGCAATAGCAAGGTCCGTGGTCATCAGCAGCATGGGCCAGCACGCAGCCTGACGGCCAGGAGATCCAGGAGGACCAAGAGGAGGCATGAAGACCCAAAGCTCCTCTCTTGGTGCCTTAAGGATACCTAGCTTTCCCTGCACCTGCCACTATCCTGGAAAAGAAGAGAGCTCTGGAGCGGGAGAATCTCCCTAAAAGAGTGAGAAATTACCCAAAAGAGATTTTTAAGTAAGAAAAGTCCATGATATCTGGAACGGACCTCCTTAGTCTTTGCTAGCAACTTTAGGCATAGAAGCTAGAAGGGAAGATAAGATCAGTTGCAGTATATGAAGAACATGTTTCTGCATACCTGAATATATACATTTTGGCCAGATTCTGCACAATTTGTAACTTTTTGTGTGTGCGAGTCATACAAACCTGGGAAGTTTCGGATCTTGACTTAATAAGGACCGCATTGAGTTGATTTGTGGGCTAGAGTGACTTCTTAACATACTGTAGTTTCTAACAAACTATTTGTAAAATTAATGGCCTCTGATGACCCCCATTACCATCTCCCTTCTTCCTGAAAGAAGGCATTTCATTACTTTATGAAGCTGTACACAGAAGAGTAATTAAGTAACAATTCAGGCCAATGGCCTCTCCCAGGAATTAATGGTAGGGAGAGTTCATTAACCCCAGCTGGTTATAGCTTCTCCAGGAAATGCCCTGGACCAAGGTTATCGTAGCTGTTAATGGATTGGATAGGGACTTCAACTGGGATAAAAATAAAACTCTGTCTCCTTCCTGGGGAGCTTTTCTCCTTGAGGGCCTGCCAAAGGCGAGCTGTAGGAGCAGCAGAACCCCAAGCTTGGGGCCCTGTGTGGGGTGAGGACAACAGATTGCTATTAGTGAGAATTGTTAAATCAAGGTGAAAACAGGGCCTTGGGGGCAAATTAAGGTCCTTGATGTACGCCTTCCTGCTATTCAGGAGGTGGCTTGATTAACACCAGTGCAGCTGTAGAGCAGCTGTTTTCACCTTGTTAACTTTTCCATGCCATGCCTGCCCTGAGCAGAAGAGTCGCTGAGAGATGTCAGGTTTTGCTGCATTGCTGCCAGGAAGGCAGCGGCCTTTGTGTGAAAGTCTGCGGTGAAAACACCCTCTCTCTTCCCAGGCTGGGCATTCAGGCTCTGTTTGCTGGGCCTTCACCCTTTTGCTGTGAGAGGCCTGAGCAGGTGTGCGAGACCTGAGTGGAGCTGCCTGGGTCCTGGCCCTTCCTGCTGCCTCGCAGGGACGGAGAGCTATTTCTTCTATCACCTTGCCCGTCCTCACTTCACTTTGGCAAATTCTTCTTGGATATTTCTATAAATGAGCCCAGTTTTGAGGCTCCTAGCCAGGCAAAGCTCTAGAACCTCGTTTTAGATCATTGTTTTTTGAATACAGAATCAAGTACACTATTTTCCTTACGTCCTTACTTATTTTTGGTGACTATTTCTGTACAATCTTTAGGCTCATAAAATATCTTTGAATTTTCTTTCAGAAGACTTCCCAGAATAGCTTTCTCAAAAGCAGAATGTTGAACTAAACTGAAATGTGAAGAAAAAATAAAAAGAGAGAGAGTGTACCATTAGTTAATATTGTCATTCTTTAATATCTAATAGACTATGGTAGCTTGAACTGGCAGAAGTTTATATTTTTTCTTTTAAAATTAAATATTTGATGTAACTATGACATACAACTATCTACTGGGGCTTTGGGGAAAAACAAAAAGGAGGAGGATTGGCAATAGATGTTAGCTCACAGCCGGTCTTCCTCAGCAAAAAGAGGAGGATTAGGATGGATGTTAGCTCAGGGCTGATCTTCCTCACACACACACACACTAAAATAAAAATTAAATAAATAAATAAATAAAATTAAATATTTGTAAATTTATTGAGTTATTGCTATTACAATAGGAATAAAGAACTAAAAAATGAAAGTTCATGAACGATCTCACCTCATAGCAAAAACCATGTCTTTTTCTAAGTTTTCATCTATTTTTTAAAAAACCGTCTTTTATAATTATCATAGAATTGATATATTGTTGTGTTTCGCGTTTTCACTAAATATTTTTATAAACATTTTCCATACATTCTATAATTGTCATTTCAATCACTGCATAAAATTCTACTGAGTTGATAATAATCATAATTTGCTTCATCATACCCTTCTTACTATACTATTTATCTGTTTACATATCTGTCTCCTCTTGAGGGCCAGAGAATGTCTGTGTTAATTTTCTATGGCTGCCATAACAAAGTATTATAGACTGGGTGGTTCAAACAAGAGAAATGGATTTTCTCACAATTCTGGAGGCTGTGAGTCCGGTTCAAGGTGTCGGCAGGGTTGGTTTCTCCTGAGGCCTCTCTCCTTGGCTTGCAGATGGCTGCGTTCTCTGTGTGTCCTCACATGGTCATCCTTCTGTCTGCGTGTCTGTGTCCTAATCTCCTCTTCTTACAAGGACGTCAGTCAGACAGGTTTAAGGCCCACCCTAATGACCTCATTTTAAATTAATTGCTTCTTTAAAGACCCTATCTCCAAATACAGTCACATTCTGAGGTACTAGGGATTAGGACTTCAACACATGAATTTTGGAGGATCACAACTCAGTCCACATGAGGTATTCAACAGATATTTAACTGTGACCCAAATTATGAACATTAAGGTTGTTCCCCCACTTTGCCTCCAAATAAAAGCACTTCAAAGAATGTATTTGTGTAGTCACTATATTTTTCAGATATAACCAAAATATTAAAAAATATGCACTTACATTTTTAACATTTTTGAATGTCTATTCATTAGCATATCAATCAACTGCTTTTTATTTTACAGAGGAGGAAAATAAGAGAGATTAAATGTCTTGCTGGGATTAAAAAAGAAGATTTTAGGGGCCGGCCCCGTGGCTTGGTGGTTAAGTGCGCACGCTCCGCTACTGGTGGCCTGGGTTGGGATCCCCGGTGCGCCCCGACGCACCGCTTCTCCGGCCATGCTGAGGCCGCGTCCCACATACAGCAACTAGAAGGATGTGCAGCTATGACATACAACTATCTACTGGGGGGCTTTGGGGAAAAAGAAAAGGAGGAGGATTGGCAATGGATGTTAGCTCAGAGCCAGTCTTCTTCAGCAAAAAGAGGAGGATTAGCACGGATGTTAGCTCAGGGCTGATCTTCTCAGAAAAAAAAAAAAAAAATAGGAAGATTTTAAAAATCTCCCCTATCTAAGACCATACCCCACAACATTTTCTGGTTCATTCTTCTGTAAGCCTGGGAAAGTGCAATAGGCAAAGGGAACTTCCTCAATTATGACATGGAGCTGGTATTATGGAGCAGTTTTTCAGCGTAACCCACATGTTAGTGACAATTTTGTTTGCAGTGAGGTCATTTCTTCTGAGGTAGCTGATGCTTGGTCTCTGCTTTAATCACCCTTTGCTTTATTTTAAATTTGCTTCTCTAGCTTTAATTTTAAAAATTTGCAATTAGAAAGTGATTGTTAAGTGGACAATTCCTAAAAAGGATAACTAGAGCCTCTGCATGCAAACTTATGTAAAAAATTTACACTGAAATTTGATGTAGTTTTATACTCCTCTCTCCATTCTTCTAACTTTGTGCTCTTCCTGCCCTATACTGGAAACAGAGTCCTTTAAATTTGCTTAGTAGTCCCATTTGATAATTATAGAGAAGTCTTTCATGCCTTGAGATTTGGGGATGTCTTTTGTTTAATAGAAATAATATTATGTTGGAATATTTATACTATAAATTACTTACAATTAGCTTAGCTTTGCTATATCTTCCATCATTCTTCATTTATTTAGCAAACATTTTTCTGAGCACCCAGTAGGTACTGAGCTAGGTAATGGGATGACCCAAAGATGACCAGAGTACTCAGTATCATAAGGCATGATCCTGTGATAAATGTTATAGTCGACATGGGTAGAAAGAGCTTAGGGATACAGAGGGGGAACATTGAACCTTATGATTTGGGGAAGCTTCAAAGGGGAGGTGCCCTGGGGATAAGTTGAGTCCTAAAGGAAGAGAGTAATTTTATGGATAATGGGAAAGGATATTCTAAGAGGAGGGAACAACAGGTTCAAAGGGACAGTATGCTCAGCGAGTGGTAAAAAATTCCCTGCAGTTTCTGTCTAAGGTAGTACATCCCAGTATGTGTTACATGGGTAATTGGTGTCATAACAGATGGTTTTAGGTGGGACACAGAGGTAACATTTTTAATTTTGATAATTAATTTTAATAGCA